AAAAATCACTGAAAAAATGCTTTCTTTTAGCTTAAAATCACTCATAACTTCACAAATAATCCAGATAGTGAGATGGTTGTTTTTCTGTATTATGGTTTGCTCGAAATTTTAATAAGAGCAATTTTGATACTTAAGCTATGTTTCGGGTTATGTGACCTATTAGGAAGGAAAACTAATCACGAAAATATCCCCTAGTTAGCCCACAATGAGACTAACTCATAATTAGTCTTCGACTGGGAATAGTTTGTGTTAACTCTGGGGATGGTATGGGCTATGAGAATAAATTATAAATTCTGGGTTTCGAACTTGAGTCTATCTCCCACGTTGTAGATTCAAATTCACTAAAAATCCTAACTGTTTTTTTTTTCTTCAACTCTAAAGAGAAATATAGATTACTTTTAGAAATTGCTGAACAGTGAAAACCATTCTCTTGGTATGTACAATACATATACTACATTCGTCATGATGATATTTTGAAATGGAGAGGGTGCTTTGGTGACCAATATCGTTTGATACCACTGTTATAATTTTAAATCCGGAAAGAAATGCATTTCACAGTTACCAAGTGACTGATAAGATACATAAAGATAGCCCCAATAACATTAATAAACATTTCGATTCGAATTCCTTAAGTAACTAATTAACTCTTTGACTAACATCAATATTCGTAGCATATTGCACCAACACTCGGAATTTATTTTATTGAAAATGATCATAGGTTTGCATAGTAAAACGGCTTTGGTATTTCTTTTACTAAAAATATATAGAGGTATTAATTTCAAATAAGTTAAAAAATAATACCGGAAAAAAAAATGATTCTAAGTTTTCCAATGTGCTATATTCTTTCAACTAACTTATTAACTTATCCTATTAGTTTTGAATTAGCTTTTCTTTGGAAGAAGAATAAAAAAAATACCTTCATTTTTTAAATTTATTTTTATCTTTTTTTCCGGAATCACATTTTTAATTTTTTTTAAAAATATTCAAAAAAGGCAAAAATTAATAAAATCTAATTATAGTTTTTCTCTAACAAATTGAAGAAAAAGGCACCTTAAATACATTATTTTAATTTCATTCATTTTTTAATGATAAAAACTGTTTTAAAATAAATTGCATTCGATTACTGTTAAAAAAAAACACGAATTTTAAATTCGCGAAAAAATTATTGAAAATTGAATTAAATGTTATTATTGAATATTAAAAGTATAAAGTATATGTTATTGTCTTTACCATCTAGGAATGCTATTTTAAGAGAAATATGAGTTCTGGTTTTCATCAAATATCCATAAAGCATTCATTTGAATTCAAATAACTAGAGGAGAGATACACATTTATCTCTTCTAACCGGTGGAACTATCTTTAAATGAGTTTTCAAAAGCATTAAAGAATCTACACAAAAGACAACATGCACGCAAATTCAAGTGTCTCAATGACACCTACTTTTTTGTCAAATTAATGGGGAACGCTAAATTAAAACAAAGATAAATTCTGATCACTTGAGTTATCTATCCATCTCCATCCATCCTTCCCCCTCCATCTCTACCTATCCCCATCTATCTATCCCTATCTATCTATCTATATCTATCAGGGTGCGTAGCCAAATTTTTCAGCAAAAAATAAGCACCTTTGAAATACTTTTTAAGCACTCAGAAAATATTTTAAATCACTTTCCAAAAAAATCATAATTAGGATCTGCGCTGTAATAAAATTCCCCCCCCTATCATTTAAAGTTTTAATTTGTAAACAAAATCAATAAAATTCAGAAATATTTTCAAAATCTTGACATAATCATGATAAAAAAAAACTAGTTTCTGATAAATATTATTGAGAAAATAGTGAAAATCATGTATTTTTTGTTATTTAGAACGACAATCGACACGGCAAAGAAAAAATCTCTTTTTAAAAGACAGAAAAGTAAGCACTTTTTACAAACCCCGAATAGGAAAAGCACCTTTAAGGGCTTTCAAAAACCGTAAATCAAAAATAAGCACTTTTTAAAAAGGCTATGAACCATCTATCTATCCATCTCTCTCTCTCTCTCTGAATACACCGAAGAGCCATTACATTATGACCACCTTCCATCTATAACAATAGGCTCGCCCAGGTTTTCATGGTTTCTCACTCAGGAACAATGTTTTCATGGGGCACATTAGGACTCATAATCCTCATAGAACAATCCCTGACGCCTGTAAGCTACTTGAACATAGTTGCAGACCAGGTTCACCCATTCATGGCAGCAGTTTTTCTGGCGGGGGATGATGTTTACCAACAGGATAATGCACCATGTCATAAGGGTTGAATCGTCATGGATTGGTTCGAGGAACATTCCAGTGACTTTCAAGTCATGTCTTGGCCCCCAAATTCACCTGACCTTAATCCAATAGAGCATTTGTGGTCCTACTTGGAAAACCAAATTCGTGCTGCCACGCTACC